AAATTTTGGAAGACATCCTCTTTGCAGTAATTGTATAGTTTATTTTGAAAAAATTTAATAAAATATATGTTCTATAATATAAATATTAAATTTAAATTTAACAGTTTCAGTTAATACTAATATATTAACTATTTCTATGATTTCAATATTTAAATTATAGATTAAAGATGAATTATCAAGAGTATGATTATTAAATTTAGTATTCATATGCTTTATCAATTTTTCAAGATCAAATTCATGATCCAAGATACGTTCTTTAAATAGAGTAGATTTCTCAAATCTGTTATAGAATTTTATAATTTTAGCATAATCTAGAATTTTGATATCTTTATTGTTATCGAATTTCTGATATTATGTAAATTTTATATTTGGCATTTTCTTTACGTATTAGATATTTTTACTAATCTTTTATAGCTTTCAAAATTGTGGCTTAGCTCTGAATAATTATATAAAAACCAAGTTTTCACTTTATCTCTGTTTAGTTTCAAAAGAAAACCAAACAGATTTTTAATTAATCAAATTCTAAGATGAGAGAAGCTCCCAACTTGTATAATTTTTGTCATTCGTTTTCTATATATTTTATACTAACTCTCAATTATTCTATATCGGCAACCTTACGGATTGGTTTATAACTAGTATTCATAATTGTAATTTATTTATTTAAATTATTTATATTATAAATCTAGATACCTAAAGTTTTAACAATAGGATATTATGCTGTTAAAACTAGTCATAAACCAGGAGTATATGATAAATAGGAAGAATGTAAAGATCAAATTCATGGTTATCCTAGTGCTTTGTTTAAGAAATTTTATACAAAGCAGCATGCAAAAGAATATATTAATGGTCCTATTATTGATAAGAATAATAAAATAGAAGTTTGGACAGATAGATATTGTAAAAATAATGGAAAAAAAGAAGCAATTGCAAGTTTTGGAGTCTTTTTTGATGATAAAGATCCAAGAAATAAAAGTGAAAGATTACCTGATAAATTACAAACAAATAATTATACAGAAATATATGCTGTAATCAGTGCTTTAGAAACAAGTGAAAATTCAAAAGATTTAGTAATTTATACTGATAGTTTATATGTTATTAATTGTTATAATTTAAAATATCCTAAAAAAAATTCAGATTTAGTAACAAGAATAAATGATTTAATTAAAGAAAAGAAAAGAAAAGTTAAGTTTGAACATATAAAAGGTCATAGTGGAATATATGGAAATGATCAAGCAGATAAATTAGCATTTATAGGATCTAAAAAAGATGTAAAAGAATTAATTATTCCTGAATCTGTAATTAAACAAAAAAGAACAATAAAAGATTATTTTAAATAATATTTTAAGTTAATTAATTGACACGTTTACTACATGATTTACTCAAGGCTGGGACCATAGAGTATATTACATAAGAATACGGAGACATTATTAGAATTCCAAAATAATCTGTAGGAAATTGGAATATAGAAAATTCTTGACAAGCTTGCTTGACAACTAACAAGAACCTAGCTAACTCTGGAGGCGATTTATTTAAAATGGATATTAAAAGAATTAAATAAAATTCTTAACTCATTACAATATTTTTAATTAAATTTTGAGATATTTTGAAAATGAGTAGTGTTGTCATGTGAAAATTTTTAATTCTCACATGACATAAACACGAGGCATTTGAAATATCATAAAAATTCCTAACTTAAATTTTATTAATCATATGTTTAGATATCAGAATTGATAGGATCAAATTTAAAAATAATTATAGTTTTGATTTATGTAAATGTAATATTGAAATTTTTATATCAATATTGTGTTTATCTTATATTTTGTATAAATATAAATAAAGAAATAATATTACGTTAAAAATGTCTTTAACTGGAGGTGATATATTTGTTAAAAAATATAATGATTCATTACAAGAAAATTCAGTTTTATTGCAAAGAAATCTTGCATTATTAAATAATAAGCAAGATTTAATGAAAAGAAATGAAGACATTACTAAAAAAATAAATAATTTGGAAGAATCAATAAAAAAATTGATAGAAGAAAAAAAAAAACAAGATAAAATAATTCAGCTTCTTTTAAAAAATCAAACTGAGTGAAATGTTAAAACAACTGATATTTTATTATTTATAATTATCAATCTTATAACTATTCATTTGTTTTATTTTATTATTATATATAATAATAATATTAATATTGTAATGATAAGAGAATAATATAGTATAAAGTATAAATAAAATAATATAAATAGATTACGTATTTTTTTAAAAAAAACAAAAAAATGAAACTTAAATTATTTTATATTTTTCTTTTTGTATGAATTATATCATGTTAAGTTGAACAATATATTCAAGATGTAGGTCTGGCGATCTTAGTGTAGTGGTTAGGTTGCCAGACCGCCATGCAAGAGGTCTGGGGTTCAAATCCCACTGT